ATGAAGATAATGAGGTCAAGACAAAATATTCTAAGATCTTTTACTTAATTTGAGCACCTCCGATATTTTCATTGCTTTCTCCATCTTCATAAAAAAATTTTGGTCCAAAATAGTGTGTCTAAAAATTCCCAAAAATGCCAACGACAACGCAAAAGCGATATTTCTCGTTTATTGTATCCTTTAACTACCATCGCGACTAAACTTCCATAAAATGCAAAATGTTTGAAACACCACCGACGATAAATTCGGATCTACGATTCCATCGATCAATCGGTAGCCCCGGCTGGGCATCTCGCGTTCGGGCGGATCTTAAATGTTCGACGGTCTCCAGAACCGAGCCAGCGTCGAGACAAACGGTATCCAGCCGGCTAATTAATTAACTTAACGACCTCCACGGTCCGCGCGGAGCGCTCTAACGTCCTATAACTCGAAACGGAGATCGTCCATGGTCGCTAAAAGCGCGCGCCGCTGCACGATTATCCGTTGATCGTCGACGAACGTTCCTGGAAGAGTTTCGATTCCGCATCCTCGATTCGCGAGAGGATAATCGCAAGACGGGGTCAACGACTCTCGAAACCCTTCTCTGATAATATCGGATTCGGTAGAGCGGTCGTTCTAAGTGCATAGGTGTGTGCAACGCGAAGAACCGGAGAAAAGAGGCGAAACCAGAAAGAGGGTCTTGCAGACTGGCGAGAGGCGGGAGAAGGAATGCCATCAGATTTCGTTCGGTTCAATCAGTTTACCACCATTGTGCTCTGTGTTCCTCGCTTTCAGATTATCGAGAATCGACCACCGACACCTCGCAGCGTCGCACCTCGCCCCCTCCCGCCCTTCGAAAGGATCGATGCAATCGCTCGAATTATCTTGAACGTTCCTTGCCTGTGATCTCTGTGTACTCCCTGTACGGGATCCGCCACATTGTCTTGCGACAATGGACGCACGGAAACGTTGGTATCGCGCGGGGGAAATTTATATGATTCCCCGTCGATGCACGGGTAATTGCACAATCGTAACGTTCTTACGAGATGACTGGGAGATCTTCAATAACAAACCGTCGTTGGTTTCTTAACACCCTCTAATAAAAATAAATATTTAAATACGTTAAACTGTCGACAGAATCAGTGCCGCTAATGTTATTCCACAGGTAAAAATTATATTGCAAGATTTATCAATTATCGCGAGTAACCAGAATGATTACTAATTTTCAGAAGAATCAAAGTTTCGTGCACTTTCTGATAGCGAAAGGAGTGTTTATTTTTTTTTTCTTTCGAACAAGTAATAGAATTGGGTCGTAAAAATTTCACAATGAGACATTAGGTCGAGAAAAGGAGAGGAGTATCGTGGTATCGAAATATGCCTGCGCGGGCGAAATACCTCGTCGATTAAAAGTATCAGGAACTCGACAGGAGGGTCGATAATTTAACGGATAAATAAGGACAGCGAACGACTCGGGAAGTTTTCATGATCCCTGTGTAACGAGTAACTATTAATTTCCCGTAAAATTACGGACGGTCGGCGTCTCAACGACCGGAAGCCACTTCTCGAAGGCTGCCCTCCTCCGTGGATCCCGCCGATATCTGAGCTATAATCGAGCCGTGGAGGATGAACTTAATTCGTCGCTAACGGCTACGATACGCCCTCAGAAGCATTACATTCGCAAGAAATGTGATTTGACAATTTTATATACAAAATTTTTCACGTTTACACTTTGCAATTAAAGAACGATAGAAGATCTTATTCTGTTATTAAGTGAAGCACAGACCCAACATAAATTCTTGACCAATTTATATTCCTTCGATTCTATCGATGATACCAAAGATATTTTAAATATTTATCGTTGATACAAAAATGTGGGGAAAATTATCGATTTCAGGCGTTTAAACGATGCAAAATGAACTCGTCTTAAATGTTGCTGGCGAAGACAGAAATCACGCGTCTTAAATAATCGTCGATGCTATTCCACGCGTTGGTTACGCGAACGAAGAGATATTGCGTCGGTGTGTTGCCCTACAAGGCGCCGTGTTCCTCGTGGCCGCTCGAGGATCGCTCTATCTGAATATTCAATAGCCTTTTCGCGTTACACACTGCCTTCGATGTTGGTGCAACGTTTGTACGTGTGTACACGCGCCTACGGAACCCCGTCGACCACTACGCCGTTGCAAGCACGGTCGCATAAACAGCCCACTGTCCACAGCAGCGTCGCTTTGGCGTCGCCGTGCCACCATTTTCGCCCTATGTGGGTCACGCGTGAATTCAAGACGCGCCTATGTGCGTCGATTATCCAAAGAATCTAATTGTCGTCAAAGAAAGTAATTCCGAAGTCCCCTCGAAACGGAGTTGGACTTTACCAATAGCGAATAGCAAAATTTCGGGGAGACAGAGATGCTTATTTGACTATTTTACGTAAATAAATCCACGTCTCAATTTACCGCGGTGCTCTGTACACAACCTTCACATTTGCAAATGTTCAAAACACCATCGACTGTCGATACGTTAACCGAAGTTTCGATATTTTCCGAGTGCACAATCGTGTAATACATTTTCCCAACATTTTGCAAACTTTGAACACTAACAATGGTCTGCGAAAAAAAAAATGCTGGTTAAATTTGATTGTCAATCAAGGAAACATTTCGATCACGAGTATTTTTTATTTATTTTGTCAGATCTGACGTTTCACATATAGTTCATTCAAAATTCTAATTCAGATCCAAAGATTCATACTTTCTTTGAGGTTCAATAAGAACTATTTAAAAAATATACAATTTCTATGGAATGAAAAACTCTGAAATTTTTGTAATCTGCAAGATAGTGGTAAAGTAAGATTAAGGAACTTGTATAAGATGTAATCGTAGCCAAAGAGGTAAGAAGTTTTTAAATCCTCGAATAGAAACGTCCTTTGATATGTAACGAGACGCGCGTAACAGAAGTTTGTTCAATTAACTCGAGAAATGATTTGTGCCTAGAAAACGCCACGTAATTACTGTGATCCTGAAACCTCGTTTGAACACGTTTGCCGCGAATCTCTTACTTCAAAGAGATAAAATTAAATGCTTTGAGTGATCTGGCTACGTTTGAAAACTATATAGGTGATGTTATTCGCGTCGCGCTCACCAAACAAAATTTAATTATTAACGTTCCGAGAAATTTACCGCGACGCAAATTTATTAAAACTGTACTAATATAATCATTCTGATATTTGTTCCGAAGTCGTGTGCTTTGAACTAATTACGTAACTTTTAATGATACGAAAAACCCAGAGGATGCGCTAGTAACGATTACAACTGTATAATTATATTCGAACGAATTTAGTTTCATTGTGCAGAGTCGAAAAGGTATTGTACTTGCTCGATGGCTAAGCTTACAAAGAAATATTTAAACGATCGATAAATACTATATATGAATAGCAACTCTGTAATTGTTATTTTAGTCAGTTTATTATTAATAATTTGTTGAAAACTATTCTATAAAAGATTGTTGAAACTCAACAGAAAATCGCAGGGTTGAAAGGGTGGAAGAGAAGATGTCAGATAATTTTCCCGTCCTCATCGATCGAAGTCAGGAACAATAGGTAGAACTCGATTGGTGAGAAATCTCATTCACATATTTCTCCCGACTCTGATCGCCAATTGGCAGTCTCGAATCGGAGCAAAACCGACTAACGAAGCGAAGGATACGCCAGTGAACGTCCTTGAACGTTTGGCCCAATTGCACGGCGATTACGAAGATAAATCTTTGGTCACGAAACGCCATAATTATATTACGCGGACGATGGATGAATGCGAAAAAGGGAACGGACCGGAGAACTGCAACGAGTAACGAATTACCAATAATTTATCGTCCTCCGAATAGGTCGAAGGAACGAGACAATTTTTCCCCTCTTTGTTCGAATAAAAAGGTATTCAGGATCCCTCACGATAGTAAAATAATCGCTTCGAACAAAATTCCAATTTGTTAACGATTTAAGAACGAACCATGCTGAATAGAAATTTACATCGAATCTTAACAATTCCCTCCGTTTGGCACGCGTGACAGACTGTAAATACAAAGACAGAAGCGAAGCGAGAAAAATGTAGCGACAGAGGAGTAAAAAGTGAACGTCGAAAGAACGACGGAAGACGGGCGAACAAAAGCGACATGGCGGACGTATCAAGAACGACGAAGACGGAGTCGCCAAAGGACAACAATCGGGGGCGGAAAAAAAACGTGAAACGAGAGAAGGGGATAGCCGCGAGTTCGGTAAGCTGGTGTAAATTTTGTGGACTTGTGGTTTCCGAGCACACTCCGCCGGTTACATCGATCGAATCTAACTTGATCGTCCGAGGGCCCCTAATGAACTGTTTCTCCGTTCTCCGCGATTGCACTGAAAACTCTCTTTGTGGCGGGACGAGCGACGAGTTAATACAATTTGTCAAACGAACGTCATCGGGGACGTGGCTCGGACCGAGCGCTGATTGAACTCTGACATTAAAGCGTGTTTCGAGGCCTGGGCTTTCTTATCTCTCGGCTATACGCGAGCACCGTTTGAAAGGATCGACGACAATGGACCTTCGTGCCGTAGACATTGAAAGCGAACAATGAACACAGTTTTAACTTCGTGGCATCGAGTCAACTCCAATTCAATAGAGAGTGATTTTACCGCGACGGTTAACCGAATAACAAACGCTGCTTCCAAATAAGTACGCTGGATGGCTGTATTATTCCACGCGTATTTAATCTCACGCCAAGGATTAAGAGTTTTAAAATTATTTTACACACTGTTCACGAGCAACAAACTTCAGTTTTCCAGTTATATTTTACGTTTAAACATCGACTATGTACTGTGCGTACGCGAGAAGTTGGCGAGAAGGGGGCATATACTTCGCTTGCCCCTTCTCGTGAATGCACAATACTATGCACCCCATGCAGGCACCGTATTTTGATAATTCTCGTCAAAATAGGATCTTGTGGCTATATTAAAACGATTCGAACGGAAAGATGGATACGTCAGATAACATTCTAACCTGGCATTGTTGTGGTCCCTGTCTGTTGGGCGACGAAGCCTTCGGTCTTGGTTTCTTCACGCCCAACTTTCCAGGATCTCCTCCACCAGGTCTCGACTCCTCGCTGCTACCTGAAACCAAAGGATAGACCCGGTGAGGTGCAAGGTCGTTTGCTTTTCGTCACGCTTCGCTACCGGTCTACGACAAATCGAACATCCTGATAAATCGAGACACGTCCCGACGAGAGAACCACGGCTCGCGGAAGAAACTCGTTTTCCTGTTACGTCGAACGGGGATGAAACCATTACCTACACCGATCCGAGGCTTCGGCGATCCTCGATCGACGACTTTTTACGACGCCTTGCGAGATTTCGCCCAGAAGCCCTCACACACGCGCCGGTTTCTTCGTTCGATCGTCCGCTAGGAAGGAAGCGAGTTTCATCGCCCTCCCCCTCCCCTCCCACCCGACTTATGGAAGATTGATTGCCCGCCGTGTCTCTTTTTGCGCTCGATACAGGATACACTTAATGGCCGATTGGCCCGTCGTCAACATCGATCGAGGCCTCGACGAAGAAACGATCGAGAGACGACTCCTCTGCTCGTCGCTGTGCATCGCTACGGGACGCGTGATTTATAGATGAAAACGTCAAACTCGTTTCGAGCTTGCAAGAATCTACGTTCGTCACGCCGTTTTGTCGTTAATTCTTACCTTCCAACTCTCTGGAAATACCGAGTACTTTGTGCCTCCGGTGTTGATATTAATTTTAAAATAATTTTTAACAAATTAAATATCGTGAAACGTAAGTATTTCATACATCGATCACTCTGAATGTCCTGTTTTAGATCTGCATTCTCAAAAAAAATTATTTGCAATACACTTTTAACTTCTCTTTCACAAGATCACTGTTGAAAAGAACAAACGTAAGGTTTAATTCCGCGCATCTCTGGCGCAGATCTACGCGTAACGGCGATCCGTACGGTTCCCCTCGATCGTAACGCGCAACAGCGTTGTATTCTTCGGCGATAATAACGCGATTCGGCTGAAAAGGGGCGCCCGGAACGACAGAGTTTGCACGAAGGATGGAAAACGCGGAGCAAAGCCCCTCGAGCCCGTATGGACATTTTCAATTATGGCGGACACATTACAAAGAACAAAATGGAGAGGCCCTCCCTGACCGGAGATTGTGCTCGGCAAGGCTCATTTCCGGCCGAGGAGCGACCGGTGCTCCTCCACGATTTACTTTCAACGTTCAAGGAGATACGTCCCCCTCGTCCCCCGCCCGACCAAAACCCTCCCTCTTCGCCGTTGAATCGTTGTTACCGTCTAAAGCAACACCTGCTACCATCTTTCTCCCTATCTGGCCCAGCTTCCTCTTTCATCCTTGTTTCATGGCGTATCTAATTAATGATTGTTCCAGGAGCCCTGTTGTTGGTTCCCGAGTCCTAGGAGGCTCGTCGTGCTTTACTTTCGCGCAGCGCCGGGCCCCCGAACGAGAAATTGCCTCGTTTAAGATTTAATTATTACGCCGCCCTCTCGTCCCTGGTTGCGCGGGAAGACGAATACGTCTTCAGCTATTCGCGTAGACGTTCTTTTCGCATCCGGAAGAAGGATTCGAGACTGCCGGGGCTCGAAACGAAACGAGGAAAGGAATATAATTGAAGAGGACGATGATAAAGGTTAATTATTAAATTGAGGAGGCAGTAGAAGCTTCATTCTCTACGAGACTCGGCGAGTATTACGAACGAGAAGAGTCGGCAAAAAAGTATAAAATTTTAAACCGATTAATTCTAAAATTATAAATAATATGATCCAGGTACACAGCTATGGGGATTTTAAAAATCGTTCGATTTTCGTTTGAAGATGAAGTCTCGCGAGAAACTTTATCGTATATTTTTCGCTCGCTTTTCCACGAGCTGTTTTCAGGTAGCATCGGGACCTTCGTTACGACCCGTGTAATTTTAAATATTTCCGCTGGAAAAACAGACGGTAACCGAGCTCTATTGGCGTAAACGGAATTAGAATTTTATTTACGCGATCCAAAGCTACCGAAGCATCGGTCGGCTGTTTGAGTTTCGCGAAAGAAGCCGAGTTTACCGAAGCCCTGATAAAAAGGAAAATTTTATAGCGGGCAAACTGGCCGGAGTACACGGGACCTCTTCTGTTATTCTTTTTCCCCGAAGTGCTGAACTTCTGGCTACCGTCCGGAAATAAAGTGACGCGGTAGTAGACAGAAAAGTTTCACTTCATCAACGTCAATGTAATACCGACGGCGAACGTTTTTGGCGAGAACTTACTTCGACGATACTTTGTCCGTTTCACTTTTTCACGTCTCCTTCCTGGTTTTTTTTTTTTTAGATATTCACGAATTTATTTTGGACACAAACAGGATAATATGCCTAGCAAATACCAAAAATCCAACTTTCGAGAATATTTGTCATCGTGCAAACGGGGAACGTAACAAACGGTGCGTCTAAATTTCTCTCCATTTATATCGAATATAGATAGCTCGTTTTAGCGTACATCGAAGCTCCCATTTGTAATAGAGGATACTTTATACGACTCTATATAACATTCATTGCGACATTGTTGTAAATTTTCAAGCTAACAACTTTCATCCAAATAACTCCATTTAACAAAAATCTGGTTCCCACGATCACGATTACTTTCATACAGTGTTCGACCATTCTGCAAATTTTTTGAAAGATTGGACTTCTTGTATAGAAAAATCTGTTCTATGGTCGTTTTTTTTTTTCCCAAATCATTTGTCGAGGGGTCGATGTTTACACGTTTTTCGATATCGATAAATCAACCGAATAAAAGGGGTGCCGCGCGGCACGTTTCCGTTAAATGCGAGTAATTTAGAACGTAAATGGAAAATACGCGTTTTTCCAGCCCTTCCCGATCATTTTATCGCGCCGTTAAAAGTTTAATGCGACCGTACGATGCATTTTAATGAACTGTTCGCGTTCGTCGCCGGGGGAGCGGTTAATTGGTAACAATGTTCGACCGCGTCGATGGCGGTATATTTGCGATCGGCGGACGTTGTTTAGTCGGATTGTATTTCGTTCGCGTCCCTTCGGGGTACCCGGTGGCTCTCGCCGCGTCTCAGAAAGCGAAACGTCACTCCTCGGGGCTACTATGCATAATTGCATCGCTAATTCTACTAGACAAACACACGATTTCGTGGCCGCGCGGTACACTTAACAGCCCACAGAGGACGTACCAATTATACGACAGTTCAAAAACCGTTTAATATTCATACCGCCGCGCGACTCGGCGATATTGCGACTGGGACGCGAAGAAATATCGCGACATCCGCGCCATACATTTTAACTCGATTATCGTTGCAAATTATGTACGACGATAAATGCAGATCGCACATTTTTCATCCCGATAATCCGAAATTATCGCAGGGGAAAGTATTCGTTGGTACTTTAAAATCGTTCGATAATTTTCGCCGCTTTTCATTTCGTAAGCTTTTTCTAATCGAGAATTTTCAAACCGCTATTTTTATAGATAGACAAATGATTTGACACTTTAGAGAAGGTTCGAAGATTGTCTCTGGTCTGTAAATCGTGTGCAATATGTAATTAATATACTTCGAAAATCGAGACTCTTAGAGCTCGAATAGCAGCAATCGTTGGCTTAAGCAAATCGTCATTGGGTTGCAACAATAACAGCGGAGCCTCGATAATTGCGTGCAAACCTCGTTTGTTGCGGCGTGTTGACACGCGAAAGGGACGGTCACTTAGCAAGAACTGGAATTGGTAGGATAGTTCGAGACAAAAGCAAATTATTGGCAAGAGTTATCAATGCAGTTGTGCGAGTCTCTGGTGTTCGCTGAAATGTTCAGCCCAGTTTTCTTGGGAATATCGATTCCATTATAGTAATTCCGCGCCCACGGAAAATAATCCTTCCACGTTTAATAAGTAATTAATATTCTTTGTTGTGCTTTCCATGCACGTAAATAGAGTGTAATCCTATCTCGTGTAATCCCGTATACTCTGTATTGCTATTATGTTACATCCAGCAGCGTTGTTATCTTGGATACGTATATATAACGAAGCGTAGGATGATCCGAAACTTTAGTCTCTTCAAAATTTCAGAGGAGATGTGGGTTATAATTGGTACTCTGAAACTTGTTTCGTCGATATACATTAATTGAAATAATTACAGTCGCTGTACGTTACAGCACCCAGAACTTTTGGAGCTTCGTTGTAATGTACAAGTTCCAAATTTTGAAATTATTTTTAGGTTATTATTAGTTGGAGGAATAAATAATTATCTGTTTCGAGTGGCAAGCAAAAGTCTTCTGGAATTAGAGAAGCATTCTATAGATTGTGACATTATGTAAAACACTGTAATAAAGGACACACATCAACATACATCCAACCATAAGTAATTTCTTTACTTTTCTGAAGAGAGATTTCTGAGGAAAGTTGAAACATTAGGTTAAAATAGTCCTATCAAATTCGATCGATTAATTTATATAGAATGACGCTGTAATTGCAAGAAAATATAAAACAAGGACCAAATTTGAATGACACCAGCGAATCAGAATAAGAGTCAGATGCTCGAAGGTTAATTTTAAGCATTGTCCTTGGCATTCTATCCACTTTGGAGGACTACTCGCCAAGGTTAGTCCTTGGATCTCGACCCTGGAACAGTCGAGCAAACAATAGACTCCGTTCACAAAGAAAGATCCAAGAGAAAATGGACTTCAATTAAATATACTTGGCCCAAGAAGAGTCCTCGAGCACTTGACGTTTTATGATTCGAAAAGATGAGAAGTTGTTCAGAGACAAGAGAGGCCTCAGATTTTATTGAAATTTGGCAGAGTAATAGTCAATTATCTTTACCTTGGCAAGAGACTGTTAACTCTTTGCGCTCGTATTCGTGTTTGAAAAGGCTACCAATGAACTTGGAGTTTTTTTTTTCATATGCAAACAAAATGGAAACATTTCAACTTGTCGGTTTAGTAGACAAAATTAGAGAAATACACAAATTTAATCTGCATTTCACCTCCTCTTGAACAGTGAAAATTTATATAATACGTGAATATAAATTCTGGTTTTCAAAATATTTAAAAAATAAATTCTAAATTGGAAGGAAGATATAGGACACACAGGA